GGAGAGATTAACTTGGTAATGGGACATGTCCTATAATAGAATTTTGGTCATGGAACAATTCTGTGAGGGGACATTGAGAAATGTTCATATTATTGTTTTTATATTTATTTAGTGCTTTGTTTGAATTTGATTTGAATTTTTCCAATTTGAGTGGTCATATGTTGTAGTAGTGACTGACCTTCCAGCATGATTGAAATGTGTTAAACAAAGATGTTGGTGGCCCATCTGAGAAGTTCTGGGGTTTACTTACTCTCCTTACTTGGTGGCCCATCTCAAAAATTAGATTCCATTAAACTTTGAGTCAGAGAGCTAGTCTTAGCTTTTTGCTAAAAGAAAATTTCTCTGAAGAGATTTTCCTCTTTAATGTGTTTTCAAAATTCCTCCCCTGGGAGTATTATACAGATCCTTATTCACTTCTTTTCTTGAAAAAGCACTCTCCGGTTGGCCAACTGACCTGTTGGTTAGCTAATTTAGCCTGTCTGCATGTTCAATTTTCAATTGCTTTCAATTTGTCTCTTGTAGTATCATTATCACTATTTCTACATTTAAATGCAATCCATATGAAAGAGAGGGGAAAAGAGATCTTCGAAAGTTCTACAACCATCATTGCATATTCCTCTTAAGTTGCATCAAATTGATTTTGTTTGTGGATACTTCACATTTCTGTGGCAAAAAACAGAGCTTCTACTCCCTGTGCAATCCCTGTTAAGCACTTCAGCCAATATCTGAAATCCAAATATTTTCCAATAACTGATTTTGAAACCTGATCATTTTGTTTTCTTGTGAGCCAAACTTGTCTCTTCATCCTGTGCTTAATTGAGTGGATGGAGATAGTGGCAGGATGTGCTGCATTGCACTATGTAGTTTACCAACTTAATACAATGCACAGGAATCTTATAAGTTGCTCACTAGATGTAATGTTAATTCACTTGCCCCTCTCAGCTGTTGCATTCTAATTTGATGTGTTGATACTGTTTTGTAGAGCGTGATGAGTTACGTAAAGACATTGAACAGTTGTGTATGCAGCAAGCTGGTCCTGGTTACCTTGTTGTGGCTACTCGAATGCATTTTCAGAGGTATATTATTTATCTCAAGTCTATCAGATGAAGTTGTTATCATTAATATTTTTTTTGGTAGGTATGCGTTGGCATTATCTTTTCAAATTGGAAATAAGAATGCATTGTGAATTTATCCCCCCCATTAGGACAGCTGGCTTGGAGCAGGAGATTGAGAGCTTGAAAGAGAAGTTAACTGCTTGCACTAGAGAGAAGTTAAATCTCCAAGAGGAGCTTTCGGAAGCTTACCGTATCAAAGTGAGGCTCCTTACCTTTTTTCACTTTGTTATTTTTTATTTTTATAAGCACTTGCATAGTCCTACTACCAACAATCTTACATGTTTCCTATTTTGTCTCAGGCCAGTTGGCTGATTTACATGCTGCAGAGGTATCAAAGGTATCGCTCTCTTTCTCTCTCTACATCCAGCACATGTGTTCACATTGGAGGTGTTGGCAGGAAGTTAACTTATGAATTATTCACTAATGGAATGGTAGCTATCCTACTAGTCTTAGGTTTTTGGGCAAAGAATGCCTACTGGTTTATTCTTTTAGATTGCATACTAATTGAAGTGATGAAACACTATGCCAATGACGTTTCCCACTTTCTGGAGGGTTTCTTTGTTCCATTATTTTTGTAAGATAAGATGGTCTTGTTTTTGCATGAAAACTAATGATTGGCTTGTAGAGTCTAAATTGACGGTGGTATGGTTCATTGTTTTCAGTAGGGACAGAGAAAGGCATCCAATAGGGATATTTTTCAGGGTAGGTTGGCCATCATAATATTGATCCTTGTAATCTGATACCATTTATTTATTTTTTCCTTTTCAGAATATGGAAGCGGAGAAGCAGGTTAAATTTTTCCAAGGTTGTGTTCCTTCTGCATTTGCTGAACGAGATCATTCAATAATGGAGGTTACTTTTTTTTCCCCTCTTAAAGTTTCTATGTTCTGCTTGGTGCACATGAGAAGGTTGGGGTTTAATGCCAAAAAAAAAAAAAAAAAATTACATATTAAAAAAAACCAGCAAAGAAAGCACATTTATTTGATGGTATACACTTGGTAAACTTAGAACAGCAGAAGAACACAACTGACAATCCATCAACTAACAACAGTAGCTGAAATGTTAAAGGTGATTGCTCACATCTGTGGGTTTTAGTCTCAACTCAAAGGAGTTAGGGATAGAAGGAAATAAATAATATCTGACATCTGGTGAGTGATTGTGTTCATCAATAGAGGTTAGTTTGAATTCACCTAGTTGGGAATACCGTGCGTGTAACTAAAACAGAAGGTGGCCGACTATAAATTGGTCTTTTTATGTGGGTTTCTATAATTTTTAAAAGGGACCACTTAGGCCACATTAAGTAACATTCATATAATTATATGGGCTTATAAGAAGTGGGTAGCATTTCTAAATTTAGATAGTAATCGTCTACGAAGCATGGACACGACCTCATTAAGTAACATTAAGTAACATTCAGTAACATTAAGTAGGCCACATTAAGTAACATTCATATAATTATATGGGCTTATAAGAAGTGGGTAGCATTTCTAAATTTAGATAGTAATCGTCTACGAAGCATGGACACGACCTCATTAAGTAACATTAAGTAACATTCAGTAACATTAAGTAGGCCACATTAAGTAACATTCATATAAATCGTCTACGAAGCCATCGACCTCGACCTCCATCCAGTCGACTTCGACCACCGTATATATATATATATGTATGTATTTATTTAATATTAATAAAAAAGACATCTTATATAGAAACACATTTATTTAAAAATATTATAATTAAATAAAATAATTAACTTGTATTAAAATAAAAATATATATATAATTTCTTTTTTTGCTGTGTCCTTAGACGTGTCCGTGTCCCTATTTTTTTTAAATTGCCATGTCCCGTGTTTGTGTCTGTGTCCGTATGCATGTCAGTGTCTGTCTGTGTCCGTGTCCATGTCCGTGTCTGTGCTTCATAGGTCATCATCATCATTCTTAATTGTTTATTGGTCCAATTGACTTATGTTAAATAATATTTAAAAGGTTTAAACCGACCTGGCCCACTCACTGTCCATTCAGTGGGAGCAACTCCATACTTTCCTTTTGGTCCCTCCAATGTTGAAATTATGTCCCCACCCCAGGGTATGTGTCTAATGTAAGCAATGCTAATGGTTAAGGTTTGAAAAAATTCATACAAGCACTCTTAACTTTAAAAAAATGTAGTGGAATTTTTAATCCGAGTTTATATGCTAGTACCATACAAGCACTCTTTAAATCCTCCACACTTACGACACTATTGCCAACAGAAGAGTTTTACACAATCTTGTCCTATTCTCGTCTCAAATTCTATATCGTACCACACAATAAATATTTTTAACATGATTGTGTAGTGGAGAGTTGATCTAGTATAAAGAGGAAGAGATGATTTGGGCATAGGATTGCCATTTGTTTATTCAGCAAATCAGAAGGAAAAATTTATATGCATCATGGAACTATAGTTTACGCAGGGTATGTTACACAAATCCCATCTAGCAGGGCCCTTGCTAATGTGAAATTTGTTCGAAACCAATAAATTTTTTTTATTTTTTTGTTTACTATGTTAAGCCTACTCATATGTGAACAAACTCATCCTTGGATTTATCGTCTAAATTTGTTTTGTTATTACTACTCTCTTTGTAGTCAAAGGACAAATAAGTGATGGTTCCTATGCCATAGCTTTCTTATATACAAAGTTGTCCTAGCCATTTCATTTGGATACTAAAATGGCATCAATGAAGAGTCTTGTGCTCCTCGAGCATCTCTCTCTGCTGGTTTCTAATTCATTGGTTCTTGCAAATTTCCATCTTACTGTTGGGACTGATGATGGTTCGGAACAATGGGGATATGTTGAAGTTCGACCTAGTATGTCAAATTTTTCTATGAAATCTAAAATCAATATCCCCCGACTACTTTATTCCTGTGGTGGTTGTCAATAGTTGAACTATGCACATATTTATCAACAAAAAAAGTAATAATAATAAAAGTTGAACTATGCACATATAAACCAGTCACAGAACCGGATGCAAAAGGTGTTCGAATCTGTGACTGGTTTTCTGTGTTCCTAGTAGTAATCTCTTGTCAGTAGTGTAATTCCTAGTACTATTGGTTTATTGGCACCTTATTCATTGTTGTGCATTGTGTAATGTAGAGGCCCACATGTTTTGGTGGCTTTATAGGAGTCCTCACAGAGTTGAGGATCCATCCAATCCATGGCCTACAATTTTATGGCTCCAAGGAGGCCCTGTAAGTAGTTCCTGTAAAATGAAAATACCCAAAACAAAAACACAATGCACTATTCATAGTTGTATAATTTATCTTATTTTATGTCATGATTTTTGAATATTCTAGGGGGGTTCCGGAGTTGGGTTTGGAAACTTCTTAGAAATCGGACCACTGGACGTGGATTTGAAGCCGCGGAATTCAACATGGCTCACCAAAGCTGATCTCTTATTTGTGGTAAATTTCACATTCACATAACTCTTTCTTTTTTTTGGTCGTAATAACTTAATGAACTTAAAATTTTGTAATTTCACGCGATCTACATTTGTTCTTGTAGGATAGTCCAGTTGGAACAGGATTTAGTTATGTAGAAGATGAGAGTTTGGCGGTTAAGACTGATGAAGCGGCAGCAATTGATTTGACTGCAATGTTGAAGGCCCTTTTCAATGGAAATGAGACACTACAAAAGAGTCCTCTGTTCATTATTGCAGAGTCATATGGAGGAAAATTTGCAGTTACTCTTGGGTTATCGGCTCTTAAAGCTATCGAAGCAGAGGAATTAAAGCTACAACTTGGAGGTAATCATTACCGCCTACTATTTTGGAAGTACTTTTCTTGCTTTTGATAGCAACGATTGGTTCAAAATTCACTATCCATATAAACATAAAGAACTTGTTTGGTATCATCTTTATTTTTTCGTTTTTTTGTGTTTTCAGAAACAAAACACTTAATGATAAAATAAAAATAATATAGATTTATACCTTATTAATCAATCTTCCTATATACTTGAACTTTGAGGATTCTTAAACCCGAAAATTTTCAACTTGTTTATAATGAAAGCTTTCTAAAATAGATATTATAACTTTTTTTGTTCACAATTCTTTTGCAGTATGTTAGTTGCAGAAAATGATTTATTATTATTTTGATATAAAAATATATATTTGTAATGTAAAAATTATGAATAAATTATTATTACATCTAAAAATATATATTTATTTGTTGGTGTGTCATTGCCGCGTTATGTCCTAGATTGTTTTGAAATAAAAAATAAAAAAATTTCATGCGTCATGTCATGTATCCGTATCCATGCTTCTTAAAAGTGGTACACTATCAAAGACAAGACTCAGCAATATGCAAATGAATCATTACCCCCACTAAGAAATGTAGTCAACCCCCACAAGCCCAGTTTGTGTATATGAAACTCAAGTCAACTGAGTTTCATCTATAATGTTCATGGTCAACAGTTGAATTAAACAACAAACCTCCCCCGTCACTCTAGATGCGTTTATTATACCAAGCAGGGAAAAACTACCTAGAGGTTCAATTAACAAAGCTGACATAGGAGAAGGTTGTAAATTTCTCAGGTATACTAGGTATACTCATAATAATACAGAAGCAAGTCTTGGTAATCTAGGTACTTGCATGTAAGAGTTTTAAAGCTACATTATCAAAAAGTTTGCTGCACCACATTTTATTATATCTTCCTTTCCCGCTTTTTTTTTTTTTTTTTATTATTAATTTGGTCTTCCCTCTTTGACTTTTGCGGACCAAATTTCGATTTTAGTCAAATGACGCTTGGATATCTATGTATTAACTTGTTCAAAAGGACAAAAAATTAGATAAATGACATACCTTTTCAATTTGGTTTCCACTTGGTCAATATACCCCGAGCACTAGTACCAAGTTAAAACAACCCCACTACACTAGTTTACCATTTCTATATACTGTTGGAAACTATCAGCAGCTAATTTTGCTGAAGTAGACACTGGAAATTCATATTCAAAGTCTGATCTGAGCCAAACCAAATCCTATCCTAGTTTAAATCATGACCTGCATATGCTCCAGTCTTTACTAAAAGACCGAAGTCCCAAATATGTTGGTGAGACTTCTGCATGGTAGATTTTGTTGGTTCCTATAAAGTAAAAATGAGCTTTCACAGCATAAATCACCTAAAACTCAAACACTCACAACTCATTCATTTGGGCAAGATAGAGATTCAAACCTTTGCCTCCAACATCATTAGCCTGTAATTCCTTTTTATACAGATTCCCAGAATATCAACTTACCCACTTCATTGTTTGCAATTAGACTCTACAAATCCATAGCATGCTTGGAACAATACCAGCATATAATAATTATACACTACTAGATGAATACATCCTTCAGTGTTAGGAATTAATTCTTCTGCTCATACACACTTTACCATTATCATAAATTATTCAGATGCTAATCATAAGATGGCAGAGTGCATAGACTGATGCAATTTCTGGTCACATAACAAAGAATAAATAAATAAGGAAGAAGATATCAATAAAAGAAACTACATAATGCTAAGAATTCACCATTCTAGCATTCAATCAATTTAAATTCCCAAACAAAAGTTCCAATTATTCAATCTAGACCAATTTCTATCAATAATCAAAAGAAAATAAAATGCCCAAGACATTTTTTTTATTCCCAACAAAAAGAATTCAATTCAAATTCCCAAACAAAAGTTCCAATTATTCAATCCAAACCAATTTCTATCAATAATCAAAAGAAAATCAAATACCCAATAAATTTTAGTAAATTTTTTTCAGAATCAATTGATAAATTCCACGACAAGAAAGGATTGGATATCAGACCTTCTCGTTCAAGGAATTACACTTGGACTGTACAAAGCCATCGGCATCGAAATTATTGGACTTGAAGACGTTAAGATTTTCCTCGAGCTTATTGCCCGAGTCCATAGGGTTGTTGCTCTTCGCTGCAGTGTTATTCAGTACCCTTGACCTAGACGACTTCGCTGAAGCCATTAAAACTGTATACGATTTCTCAGCTCAAATCAGATCAGATCAACAACAAATCAAGCGAAATTTAGGGCTTTGATTTGGGAACAAACAAGAAATCGAAAGAAAATGATTGGTTTAGATCAAAGGGAGAGAATGGATTGCGAGAATTGAAGAAGGAAGAAGAGACAATAATTGAAGCCATGGAGGAACCCGAAGAAATGGGTCAGCGAAGCCATGACGGCAAGATGAGAGGTGGTCAGCGGCATCGCGATGGCGGTGGTGGCAAGAGGAGAGAGACGAAAGAGAGGGCTAGAGGAGAGGCAGAGGACACTGACTGAGAGAGAGAGAGAGAGAGCGAGTAGCGTATGAGAGAGAAAAGTTTCGAGGGGAGAGAGAGAGAGCAGTGAGGTTATGGGCGGGAAAACAAATGATGTAATCCGTTAATCGGCGACGTCGCCAATTAATTTTACTTAAAATTTGAAATGCTTTTCTCTAAATATTTTAATTTTTTGGCTATTAAAATTTTTTTTAATTGTTAAAAATAAATTTTTAGTGACTAAATTTTTTGTCGCCAAAGATAAAAAATAAAATTTATTTTTTATTTGGCGATTAAATAAATTTAGTAGCCAAAACTAATGATATAGCAACTAAAATATTTTTTAGTCGCTAAAAATAAATTTTTTACAGCCAAACTTTTAATGGCCAAAAATAAAAAGTAAATTTTTGTTTTTAATTCTGTGACTAAATAATTTTAATAGTCAAAATTAGAAGAGCGACTAAAATATTTTTTTGTTGTCATTTGTGGCATTTTTAGAGATTAATTTTTTTTTTTTCGTCATCAATAATCAATATATCCCAACTACAAAAAAAATAGTAGATAAATATTGTACTTTTTCCGACTAATATAATTTTTGGTAGTCAATTTCTCAACTTGTGACGACTAAATTTTTAGTCGCCAAAAGTGCAATTTGTTGTAGTAAATGAAATGTTATGTCTTTGTTTGCATTCTTGTTTCGGTGGTACTACATGTACCAATTAATGTACACACTAGTGTACCAACTAGTGTTATGTCATTATTCCTGACCCCACCTGTAGGAACCCACATTTTATGTCTTCGTCATGTTCATGAGCATCTGTATGATTATGACTTGTTAAGCTTGCATGTGTATGTTTGTGACTTGTTCCGCTTAAGCAAGTGTGATCCATGCCTTGTTTTGAAGCCTTGTGATTTGTCTAAGTGTAGTATGCTTGTCTTGTTACCTTGCACCCAAGTGATCTCGTCCTGGAGTGGTATGACCTAGACCGAGGTGTGGCGCATCTAGGCCAAGATGTGGCACAGCTTAGTCAAGTGTTGTCCTTCCTAGCCGAGGTCATTGTCACCTTAGTTGCCGAAGTCCCTTTTTGTTAGCCGATGTCACCCCTTGCCGGAGTGCCATTCCGTGTAGCTTGTTAGATACGCCTTGTTATTAGCCGATGTCATTGCCTCGTCAGAGAGCCCATACCGCTTTACTTGTTGAACACCCTTCCCCCATGCTTTGTCTGGTCTGTCAGCCACCTTTTCAGGGAAAACCCAACCAGTCGCCGCCACGTGTCTCAGCAGAGGGTTAACCCCAGAACCGGGTAAAGAAAACTATCATTTGGTATCATAACCTTGCCTTGTAGAGAGAGAAACTCTAGGAGGAAGAAGGAGTTTTAGAGTGAGAAAGTAAATCTTCAAGCTTGATTCCGAGAGAT